CAGTGGAGCTCAGCTCAACTCCCAGATCACTTCCTCCTGTAGAGGTGCCAGAGGCCCCCCTTCTCCCGTTAATCCATCTCCGGAATAAAAACACACCCCCATTACCACTATATACTCACTCTCTCCCTCACTCACGCACACACATGCACCTCCCATTACCCCTCTGTCCCACCAGATTGGGGGGGAGGGAGGCAGGCAGGATGTGAGACCAGCTGGTCATCAGTTCAGACAAAGAAACCTGCTGAATGTGCTCTTGCATCAAAAAGAAACAGGCCTTTCACATTGCTGTTCCTTCATAGACTCACTGGCTCTGGATCTCTTTCTCCCTTTTAATTTTTAAGGAGGACGATGGTGTGATTACAAAAGTTTGCTTGTGGATTCTCACGATCGTAGTGGAGGTTACAATTACAAACTGAGGAAGTCTTACAGTCTGACTTAACACGTGAAGACAAGTATTCTCACAGCCTATTTTATTATACAGGCTGAATTACACTTTTTTAAACAATAGCGCCGCTGGAGTCAACATGTGTTCCCAAAGCAGGAAAAGCAGAAGAACCAGAGGAATGATGTGGTTTTACCGCAGAGAGGCCATTGGCAGGTGCAATTTATCTTTGGTCCTAGCCTAGTTCAGCAAGTCGCTGGGGAGAAACAAACCAGGGCTCTCCTGTAGAGTTAACTGGAAACTCAGGGAGTGGAGACAGACTGCAGAACCCAGCCGTACACCGTGAGGACACAGTGTGAAGTGTACATGTCCTAGATTAGGACACCAAACTTTCAGGAACAAATCCCTGCATGAGATGCATTTTTTTTATATCTTTAATATAAGTTTAAAGCAGATGGACGTAGCCACATTGATTCTAAAATCAGACAGCTCTCAACCACATTTTCATATATAACAAAGACACAGTGCTCTTACATATTCAAGCTTGGGTAAACAATGGTAGACCAATTCACATTCAGCCAGAGTTAAGTGAAGCGGCCAATTTGAATTTTACTTGACCCGAAGCCGAACACACACAGGGGACTCAAGAGAAAAGCACTCAGATTTTTATCAGTGCATTTATATGTTTGAAAAGAGGTCCAAGAGCAGATCCCAGAGGAAGTGTACACTGAGGCGCACTGGCCTGTATGCAGGGGTCATAACTGTTGTGCTGAGGGGCGTTTTCATGGCCGGGTGAAGCCCTAATCTGCCCTTTAGCCACAGATCTGTTAGCGCACGCACACACACACACACAGAGGGCACTGGTGACAGCTGAGGATTAAAAAGATTGCGCAGTCATCCTTCCTATTTATCATGGACTTATGCTTCCTCTTTATTCAAAAACAACAAAGTACCTACACATCTCATTTTTCTATTTGAAACAAAACCTTACAAGGCTGTTCAATCTGTGACATAACCATAAGATTGGAAACTCAAAGCAGTCATGTAACTGCTGATAACAATGATAGGCAACCGAATTAGCTGCTTATTAGATTACATACAGCTGTCATACTTCTGGCCAGTCTTGAGGGAAAAAAATCAGTAATGTAACATTCAACTGCACCTCAAAGGCTCTATTAGGTAAGAAATACCCAGCATGCATAAAACCTGTTTCGCAAAGTCTGATGTGAAGACACACCCATCAGGGATTTGTTTCCTAGTTCAACAATGGAAAGCCAGAACAAGTACAAGTAGATATGCTAGGTAATGTGCATGCTATAGAACCTTTATTTAGGCTAAAGCCTTCTGCACCTGCAGCCCATCAGGTTACTCCAAAATGGGACCTCCTTGTGTTTTTCAGCAGGTGCAAGTGGCCCGCAAAAAATCTTTAGAATGATCACTTGAGTCATGATATGCTTGCGGACTTAACATAAGCCCGGTCAAGGCCAGTGCAGAGCACACAGGAAACACGAAGAGCTATGACATTGGATATGGAGGGGGGCCAATCAGACTGATGAATGGACTTCTTTGTAACCCATCATGGGACTTGAGAATGGCTAAAAAGATAATTCCCTCTTCCTTAACATGATCTTTGAGGCAGGGCTAGTTTGTCAAAGGAGCAAAAAAGACATTCAGATCACTTGAGTGCAAACTTGCCTGCTGAAAAGACAGGAAAAGATGAATAGGGAAAACAATGACAGACAGACTAGCACATTTTTTAAAGAATTTACAGTACACTAAAGTAACAATACATAAGAGATCAATGCTTTCTGCAGAACAGCTTTGCTAATTTGAAGATAAGAATGTCTACATGGAAACTCACAAAATAAACAACGCTACAGCAAAACAAAAGACCCATTAGGGACTGTCTGAGATTAGGTTTTGTGCAATGAGAATACTTAGCCGCGATGCAGCTTTAACAGCTAAGGATGTATGGGCATACGGGGAATTCCTGACCAGCTGCCTACTTAAAAGGTTCTCTAAACCCAGTGCACACACATAAGTCACACTTGCACATGCTATTACCATTCAATGTAGTCCTCACTGCCTGGATAAGTCTGTTCCCTACATCAGACGAACACACTAGTTTAATTTCCTTGTTTTACAAACTTAAAATGTTCTTGATGTGGCAAATGGAGACATCATTACTGCAAAGAGCATAGGATTGGTGAGCAGTGCGGTGGGGGTGAGTCACAGCAAACTTAAGAAACTGTCAGGACATCTAAATCTCCATCTGTTCACTATGTTAAACCCCTACCAATACGATCTAGCATCAAGCATCAGCGCACCAATTACTGCTACAACTTGCGACGGCTTTATTGCTCATTGTTAAATGAAAAACAGTAAGCAGTTTACTGCGTTTGAAACTATTTAATGGCTGTGCTGATTATGTGATTGCGTGTTTTAATTATTTCAACATGTTACAACAACTATTACTTCTTGACTGGTCTGGTTTCTAGAACAGTCTGCAGCCCACCCTTTAAAAGAAACGACAATTTGCGAAAGTGTCACCTCTGACTGAGCTGATTATTCTGCATGTATGCCATACGTCGTGCATGGTGATGCAGCCAGAATGTCCACACTGTTTGTCATACAACGCTGCCTCGTTCGCGGACACATGGGATGCACTGATGAGCAAAAACAAACTGGGATGTTAGACTGACATCTAAAAATAGCCAAAGACTGACGAGTAAATCCACGGTCTCATCCCTGACTCGAATACATAGTGACAGGGGAAGGGGGCACACGAATGCATAGAGGCATTCAGGCCCATAGTTGTGAGCTCATAATGGTAATGCCATTCATCCTACAGTCAGTGCCCTTGTTTCCAACCCCGTATGGGCCTGACCTCTCGCACTGCTTCGTCGCTGAAGCCCCGCTGACTCCGAAGACCACAGAGGGCACATATGCTTTGTGTCTGCACGCTACGCATTCACCGCGACCACACGAGACATTCTGTCACCACGCATTTATGTCTCCTGGTTGAAGCCAGCACCACACAGAGAGACTGCGTCGGTTAGCTGTCTGTGCTGGAGTATTTGGGTGTATCTGTCACTCTGTGTTTCAGAGGCTAGGTACACTGTGGATGTCTGACAGGTATAAAGTCATGGAAAAGCCCTCTGCCTGCTGGTAAACCTCATCATGCAAAGTAGGCCCCAGTTTTTGTTAACAAAAAGCCCTAAATTCCAATTATTAACATTTAAGATTAGATAAACAACCAAAATTGACTGAATGTGTGTCTTCAGTTGTTCTCTGTCTATCTGGGACAAAATCTACACCCTAGTCTGTGACCCCTGGGTAGTTATCTTTCATCAGACTAACAAAGGGAGGGAGGATCTTCAAAACAAGCACTCTGGTGTGAGAAAAAAAACAAACCAAAACTTTTCTGGGTTGCTGTAGACTATAGCATCACTTTGTAAGCATCAGGTTGTGTGTTTTTTTTCTTGGCACTTTGAGTATAAACTGTTTGTCAAAACACTGAAAAATACTTAGAAATCATTACTGCAATAAATGTGCATCTACTGCCAAAACACAAACAAAAAATGCTCTATTGTTTAAGATTCCCAGAAGGGTAACAGGCAGTCCTGTGCCAACACTTCAGCCTCTGGTGACCTTGAGTTGTTAACAATCTTCATTAGTGAATGTGCCACTTGTCCCTTTCACCACCAAGCCATGAAATGTGAGAGACTGACAATGTCTACCACTGACCAGTCTATTCATACAAACTCCCCTCTAGATCACAATCACAACCGGTGCCTTGTCCTAGCAATGAACAATGTCCTAAACTAAATGAAAGAAAGAGAAAGTCAAGCGAGAATTCTGTCCCATAAGTGTGGAGAGCTACAGGAAAACTGACCAACAACAACCCAGGTCCCCTTAAAATAAACTAGGCTGTGCAGATTGAACTTTTGTCATATTTCAAACAGTGGGAGTGTGGGTGGGGACAGCTTTGCGAGTCATTCCACGCATGCCTTCCCACCCTGCATCCAATCCAAATGGCCACTGATGCCATTACTACATGCAACATGGTGTGTGCCAGCTGTTTCGGTGTGGGTGAGTCCATCCAAACATGCAGCCGGAGAACCCTCGAATGACAACAACATGCCATCATCCGGGTTGATTTCTCTCCACTATTTTTCATTTAGTCAAGTTAACCAATGCTTGAAACACACACTCATGCATATATGTACAGCATTACCTAGTTATAACACCATTAGCCAAATCTGAAACAGTTTGTGATTGTCATTTGTCCATTTGCATACGTGCAAAACAAATGTGTGGTGCTGTTGCAACACTGTGGGGCAGAATGAACAAACTTAAAGAAGGCATCTGTGCTGAGAAGGAAGTACCTGGGCAGGTGATGTGCAAGCTGCTTTACTGCTTATGTCACCTCGCAAGTGACCTTTGCTTTAGAAGCAGTAAATAAAAGCCAACTTTGAGGAAGTGAGTAGCAGTGCATGGTGAATTTCGCACAGTTATAACCAGACTAACATCCACACAAGTCCCACGCGTAGACTCATCGTTCAGGGGACTAACACATACTTGCCGACTGACACAGAGGAGACATTTTTCGGCATACCTTTGGTAGCTCTTTGAGTTGGTTGGCATCGAGGAGAAGCTCCTCCAGGCTGCGACTGTAGCGGAATATTTCATCAGGGACCGTCTGCAAGTTGCAATGCCGCTTGTCCACCGACTCGACGTGGCGGTTGCAGCGCCACAGGGGGATACACTTCAGCATGTCCGGCCGCCGTGGGGGATTTGGTTGCCGGTGCTACTGAAATCTCCGCATCGGAGGTTGAAGCAGGGGAGGGGGGGAGGAGGTCGCTGGGGGAGAGGATATTTTGCGGGCTCACTCAATGTCAAAACACTTACTGTGTTCCCACGACGATCCCGAACAGGAGGCCGAAATCCACTTAGAGACACAAAAATAATCCCTCCAATCTGTTAGCGATATTCCCAGTTTCAGTTGAGCGGTGTTCAATGATTGTCAGGTCCGTCGTAGCGTCATCCAGCCCCGGATTTACAATTAACATAAACCAAGCCGAGAACTCCCCCTTGGCTCCGGTGTTTCCTCACTTCTTGCGCTCACTTCTTCACAAGAACCGAGGAGCAGTTAGCTTGCTTTGCTACCGCCACCATCCCCAGAACCGAAGCTTGTGCCGCGGCTAGCCGAAAAACATGCAGCCAACAAGGCAGCTCTGCAGAAACGCCGCTTTAACTATCGTAGTCATGAGTGGCGACTGCGGACACAACCACTTGACTTGAGTTATAAGTAAACGGCTACCACAGAACAGCTAACACATCACACGGAGCGAGTCAGCAGAGATTAACCCGAGTGCGGTGGGATGTGTTCGTCCTCACAGGCGAGCTAGTTCCAGTTAGCCGACATCGGCTAGTAGGTGCCTTTGTGCCTAGCAGCCGTTAGCTAACGCTGGTACAATGAAATATATGGCAAACACCGGCAAACTGTGTGTAGAAGCAGCATCCCAAAATACGCCGACGAAAGTGCCCGGTGGCTCTTCTTTTAAGTCGACATTGGTAAAGTGCCAGAGGCGAGAGCAGGAGCTTCAGCAACAGCCGCGCTTACCTCCCCTGTTGAGCCGAGGCAGGCCGGTTTGGCGTGTGGGGGGCTGGGCTAGGCTTTAGCTGGAGCACCGCCGCTTTGCGCCTCTGTAGCAGAGGCCACAAGTTACTGTCTGACTCCACCTAGCGGCATTCAGCTGTTAGCTTCGAGCTTTTCCAACATAAGACTCAAAATTCGTTCAAATGTCTGGAGAAGTTACTACAACAAATGCCATTTCTTGGAGCTAAACCGTCCCGCTGCCCCACCCAAGCTAACCTTTAAATAGGGACGGACTGTACCATCACGTGTATTGTTCTCCAGCTCGAGTCCTTCAGCAATAAAATAGTGAACTTATGCAAATAGAGCAATAATTACTACTGTTTTATGACATGTTTAACAATCCTGTTTCCAATCAAGGAAATATTTAACACATACAATGAAATTTTCCATTTGTTTTGTTGTCGGAAAACTTTTCAGATCTCCACAAATGACTGAAATACATGATGTAGGATTTTGTGCAGGCAAAAAACATGCTCCAACTTGTGCTAATATAATCCAAGAAAGATTAACTTAATATTTGAAAATACTCGAGATAAACAAGAGCTTAAGTATGTTTTTTTCTTTATTTGCCATGTTTTACAACCAGTGAACAGAAGCCTGTCAGTTACAAATGCTTAAAAAATACTTCTTCCGTCAAGACCGTTCGTAAATAATTTGCTTCACACTTCTTGTGGACAAACAATAACCTTTAATTGTATAAAGAAAAAAGTGTTTACATGTCCTGGCAATGTCATGAAAGAAAATAAAAAGGGAGCTAAAGCAGGAGAACCTAAACGTTGTACAAGATCAGATTACAAAAAAATGTTTAAACCAAAAGGGAGTCTTCACAGATCACAAAGCAAAAGAAAAAAAAAAAATCGGACACAAATATTTTAATGAACACCCCCCAGTGGAGCTTTAAACATTGATATCAACAGCAATTGTTTAAAAAAAGAACAAAATAAAAATATAATTACAAGTTTCAGAGGCCCACATCTTTATCTGCAGTGACTGTGGCTGAAATGGGCAACAGGTATGGGGATGAGTGCTGGTGAACCGTTTCACATACTTTACGCAGAGAGGTCACTGCTGTTGAAACGGTCTTGGTCATACACTTCTGCGACAACTTTGCGACCCCCGAACCAGCGGTCGTTGAGGGCCTGGATAGCTTTGTTCATCTCTGAGGCCATGGAAAACTCTACAAAGATTTTGACGATGATATCTGCATCCTCCTCTTCTCCCTGCTTTTCCTGGTATATGATCACTCTGTTGACGGAGCCGAACTTCCCGCACTCCTCCGTCACCTCGCCCTCCAGGTCGTCGTCGATGTCCTCCGGCCCGACCATATTTCGAAGCACCATCACCGTGGACTGGAGAGGAGCAGAATTCAATGAGTGTAAATGATTTTTAATGATATAAAAAAAAAAAGGAGTGAATGAGAATCAACACAATCACATGTTGTCACCTCTGATTTTCTGAGCAATTTCTGCATCACCATATGCCTGGCGCTGCTGCCCGAGATGCTCATGTGCTCTTGGTCGCTCAACATCTCCTGCCCTGTGCCGTCCTGAAGCATCTCTTCCTTCTCCTCTTTCTTCTCTTGTTGGCTGGAGCCACCGGCTTGATTAGACAGGACTGGCGGTGATGCGAGCACAGGGTTCACGAGACCGACCTGGGGAAGCACTGGTATGGGAGGACGCACTGGAGTCACACCTTTTCAGGGAAGGCAGACATGTAATGAGTGATATTGACTGTGCAAACACACTGGCTTTAAGAAAGTTAGTGATCAATAACAGCAGTTGCCATTTGTACAGATGGCCTGTCATGGTCACTGAAGATCAAATATGACGCTGTTGTTTAAACCTCTGAAACACATTCAAAGGCATGTTTTCTTCTAAATAAAACAGCCCAAGTTACGTTTATCGGAGACAGAAATTGTACAAACAGGAAAAAAACACTGCATTTTTAATATTGCTGTGGTTCCTGAGCGACTCATTTATGGGGAAAGTTTCACCAAATCTTAGCCACATCTACACGTGTCTCTTAAAAACTTGCCAAAAAGAAACCATTTGATTTAACCTGTTGTTAATTTTTTTAAAAAAAGGAGACGAAAGAAAGAACAAATTTTGTGTTACTCAGTGCAACCGTGAAGTGACAAAAATTCACAAGTCGCCAGCTGATAATTATAATACGAAGAGTCACTTTTCAGTTTTTATACAATAATCAAAGAAATTAAACTTTAGTTTTTATATAGCTTATTGCATTCTAACTTTGTCACACTATATAGAAAACATTCTCTGTACTTCTAGCCATTGTTAAGCTGTTTCCACAGATGGTGCAGTTCTTTACATTGCAGTTTAACAATGAGGCCATAGTGATTAAAGTATGATGGGAGCAAAAAGAAACTGCTTGTGGCTCAGAGGGTTAAATGTCTGCAACTTGATACTAATTATATAGTCGTTTTACTGTTACTGTTGGCCAGGATAAACCCACCCTGTGTGATTTCATCTCCTTTCATGATGTGCCATGACTAATAAGATTAGAACCTCAGACAGCTGCACTAAACAAATGGGGAAAATACTGTTCTTGTGATCCTTGTGAATGCAATTTCTCATCTGCCTTCAGAGATGTCAGCAGTTCAACAATTTCATGTTCCTGTCCAACTGAATCCAAATAATGCCCTCTTGAAGGAGTGAAACTCTTACATTTTAATGGAAGGCAAAATATACACCCAATCTTCATTTTCATTCTAGGTTTCTATCATGCTTTTGACCTACAGTAAAGTACTGAGTCATTACAGTATCCTGCATGTTGTTACATTCACAAATTCGGCATATTTGGTCTTGTTTTGCAACCATGTTGAAATGAAAAAGGTGCACTCAATATAATCAAACGCAACATACACATAACTTTTTTTCTGATTTATGACCACTTACTAACAACTTTACCCAAAGAAAACACACACACACACAAATGATATGCTGTCCATTACAAAATAAAGTTGAAAGCAACAAGAGTTCTGTCACAGTGGGTTAAACACATAAGCACACTAGAAGCAATCAAAATTAATTAAAAACCTGCCTAAAACTGCTCATGTTCTGGTACATACCTGTGATGACCCCTGGTGCCTGGGCAGCCATAACAGCCTGAGGTATTCCCATTTGCTGACCGAGAAGTTGGGGCGCTGCTAACGCCCCCAAGACTGATGCGCCGGCTACAGCCTCCTTAAGAGAGGGGGGCCGAAGACATTAGGTAAGGGAAACACACAGAACACAGCACAAGGCAGCACAGTCAACGATCACACAGCATGGCAAAGAGTGAGCTCAACCTATTCCCCTAACAAAATCCCTGACTATTCTTAGCAAGCCATAAATATATAGCAGTAATGTTAAAAAACTTCAATCATAAAACATTCTGCTTCGAGCATGACTCACTAGTTACTGACTATTCACACTGAAAGACAGCTGTCACTTTGTCTGCACTAAAAGAAAAAGCTCATCAGCCTTTACATCCAATCAGTGAATGGGAGGAGCTTTAATAAAGTACATTACTTTATAATGTATACAGTAAAAGATAAATCTTTCATTGTATATAGGTTCTATTTGTGCTCAGATAACAACAAATGGACCAGAATAGATTATGGCCAAAACATTCTGCATTTTAGGGCTGCTAAACTAACACTGTGTCAAGGCAACTACTGTTCTTACAGGATCTCTACAAAACTGGCCTTCTCCCAGTCACCTCAGTAAAAAAATCTATGGCTATATTATCTGTTCTGGTGTCATATCTAGCTAGTTCTGGGTTATATTTACCTGGAAGGCCATTAAATCCCTTTGGAAGGGATTCATACTTGCCTGGGCCGTTATCTTAGCGGTGGCTGCCGCTGCAGCCACAGCTGCTGCAGGCGGCAGACCACCTGGGGTCGTGGGGGTCAGTAAGGGCATGGGTGGTGTCACTGCTTTGCCCACCCGTAGGTACTGACCCCCCAGGTCAAAGAGGTTCATAGAAGACACAGCGTCCAGGGCTGACTGAGGCTTTTCATACTCTGTAGGGGAATGAAAACACCAGTTAGTAGCAGAGCGACGGCAACACAAGCGCACGAGCGAATGAGGACCCCCAAGCTCACCAATGAAGCCAAAGCCTCTGTGTCGCCCTGTGGTGGGGTCTCTGGCTAACGTGCAAGACTTGATCCTTCCAAAGGCCTCAAACACACTCTTGATGTCATCATCTGACAGGTCAGGGTGGACGGACGCTACGTAGATCCGGTTAAAGGCGCGAGCCTCCTCTGCCAGTTGGTCAATGATGGGTTGCGCCTGACCGATGTTACTTGGCCGCCCAACCTATAGCACAGATCACACCAGCAGGGCTACTGAGTAAGGGGGTTTTATTGTTAACCGAGAACGCACTACCGCATAGCTCTATGTCGGCAGCCACCGAGTTCAGTCAAAGCCACTCACTTCTACAGTTATGTTGGATTTTGACCGGTAGCTTTCATTACTACATTTGTTAAAGATCTGATTGAGTGGTTCTGAGATCTGAAAGGACCTACTCATCTATCATATATCACTGTCATTGAGGTCATTAGGTAAGAAATACTTTTTCTTTTCTTTTTTTTTTTTTTTGATGGGAAGAGGTTTTAAGAACAGGAAATAATTGAATGATTAGTTAGACGAAGGACCAGAACATTTCACTGTGGGCAAAACTTTGACTTTTCAGAGCTCTCTCAATTTAAATTGTCATAAATTCAATTGACTGTAGAAAATAAAGTTTATTTGGAATGTCCATTACTCAAGAACCAAATATTTTAAATTAATTTGACCACTGATCAATCTCAGCTTTCACTAAATTAGGATAAAACAATGTATGTCGCACTAAATATCACTTCATTTACAAGTACAATAGTGTCATATGAGCAACTAAAGCTTTATTTCCAAATAACAAATTCATGCTCAGTGTGACCTCCTGAGCTGGTGGCAACACCGAAAGGGGAACGCATCAAATGTTTTGTGCTG